GCGCTTTGGAATGCTTTGAAAGACCGCGAGCTCTCTCTCTCTTTCTCTCTCTCGGCGGAGTTAGAGTCGCTGGTTCGCCGCGACGAGGACGTAGACCGTTTCGAGGGAAGGTAAAAGAGGAAGAAGAGAGGNGCGGACAGACTTGCTTCGATTAATTACCACATTGTCGTCCGGACGATGTTGGATGCTTGGCCGCGGTAATCCGTGCAAGATCGGCCATTTCTTACTTTCGTTTCTCCTTCTTTTCATCTTTCTCCGCGCGTTTTCGGCGAATCATCCGCCCCGCGAGATGGGAAGAGAAATTATTCTATTCCATCGGTAAAGAAAAGAAAAAAAGAAAGAAAAGATTAGAAACGTAAATCACCGCGAGTGGGCGAAATGGCGCGGAAAACGAACGCGATCGAGATAGCGCGGTACGTGGTGGTATAAGTTGGGGTTGGTCGCTCAAGTTCATGATCAATTGCGCGTTCCCCGAATACCAGCGGTCATCGTTCGACGTGGCTCGACTCCGCCGCAAGTTTTCGCCGTTTCGGGATCATGGCGGTGATCTACTAGCCCGTGGAATGTCGGCTCTCGGTTTATTATAGCGGATAACGATAACATCTCGGAGTAGCGTAGCGCGCGAGTTTGGGTTTGGGGCCACGCGTGGCCCCAGTCCACCCGCCGCCATCGGTCGCACGGTATACATCAGCGTCAGCTTATTTTCGTGCGTCGCTACGCCACCTCTGATGTATGAACGTAATTGGTTAGGCGGGATGCGCGGCTCGCCCCGATATACGCGAGAAAAGGTTCGCCTGTCAACGAGACGCGAGCGAGAAGAGGCAGCGGAGATGACAAACCGAGTGGAGGGAGGGAAAGACGAGAAACGCGATTTCAACATCGCCGCGACATTGTTGGATGCAACAACATTATTTACTTCCAAGTCCAAAGATTCCCCTTTTTTTTCCCCCGCACAAGCGAATATAGATACGCCTTTGGATCGAGCGATGTTTGCATTCGAGAAACGGAATTGCGTAAAATGATAAGCGTTGTCATATCGATCGATGATACGTAACACTTATACATTACGAAGAGTAGAGATCCTACGATGACAGTTTTTTCGAATCGATAACAAGGATATTGGAGATACTCTTTTATAACGATTATAACGATAACGATTTAGGTTGCTTTTCTTGGCGTATTTTCGCGCGAACGGGAACGAAAGCAAGTACGAGTATAGAAGAGGATCCTGGCAAAGAGTGGCACGACCTAGAAATGGGAGCGCGCAGATCTCTCGATCGATTTGCCAGGGTTAAACTTATACTTGACGCACGCTCGCGCGTCCATTTGTTTCAGCCGGGACGCGACAATCACGTTCGCAACAATAATGGCTACCACGATGCGTATCGTGCCGTCGAACGATGCGAGAGTCGCGCGTACATTTTCTCGGCCGATTGCGATCGTTTATTAGCGTGTCTGAAGCTCTAATTCATTGCATAAACCGTCGTTTACGCGGCGAATTAAACGCTCGCACGGATCAAGTCTTGGATAAATTCTAGTTTCGTCCGAGTTTCAACCGAGTTACGAGAAGAGCGATGCGTCTTTGATATACGAGTTAGATATATACCTAAGACGATTTCCCAGAGGAAGAAATAATTAAAATCGCGAATAATTTACGCGAACGATCGCTCGTACTCGAGATTTCAATTTATAAAACGAGGTAAAAGATCGATAGATTTTTCGATTTTTTCGATATTCATCTTGTTATTTATCTGGCTCTAATGCAGCTTCGATTAAACGAGATCTCGTATGCGGGGTATATGCGACATTGGATTTTCGTTTTCGATGAAGTACGAAAGAGGAAAGGAAAGGGGGGAAAAAAACTCGACAACGAATTACGCGAAACGTGAAACGTGAAACGTAGGTAGGATAAATTCGTTCGATTGAGCGACGACTCGGTCTCGAAGGGGTTTCAAGGAGAACGAGTTCGAACCGCGATTGAACTCGACGCTATTGCCTATGATGTATCCTCTTTTCCACGTATCGATCCTTTCCTCCTCCCCCCTCCGCCCCATCTTTTAACGACGTATGCGAACAATTTATTATCTCCGTTGAATCGCGGTGGACGTTGTAAAATTACTCCTTAAAGTCGTAAACAACGAGTATTGGAAAGAAGAATAACGCGTTCGTTATCGGAGGAGAGGAGGAATTCGAGCGTTGCGAATCGGGAGGGACACGAGTGACACGGTGTTTTTCTCGATTCAGCGGGATTCGGGATTATAACTCATGCACGCCCATCCGTCCGACAGATTTATTGGCGATAGTGGCGCAACAATAATGGCTACCGGCTACGTGTACGCGAGACTGCGATCGCGCGTCCTTTATCATCGCGTCGGGATGGTATGCACCTCGCGCGAGGCGGTTTCTTCGATCATTACGATCGTGTTCGCCGCGATCTCGAGGATCGATGTACACGCGTCCCCTCGCCTAGCTCCAACGAATATCGGCTGGATCTCGCGCGCCACTCTCCCCGATTTATCGCCCCGCTAAAAATTCCCACGAATATCGAGAAACGGAATTCGTTCGCGTTCGAGCGGATTATTTCGAAAATTTCGCGGCGAAGCGATCCTCTTCTCTCGTGGAGCGGGAAAAGAATGGGAAGAAATTTTTCCTCTTCCTTCCCGCGTTGCGTAGCGAATCGCGCGTAGTAATGCCGCGGGAT